GGCTTCCATTGCCCCCGACACTTTTATCCCGTACAATTCGATTTCTGTCTCTCGCCCTCCGCGCATGCGAAATCCAATTTGCCCGTCGTAAGCTGACCCGCTCGCTCACGCGCGTGTGTGCGCGCCAAAATCCAGGGAGAGAGTGGATTTTCACAGTTTTCTAAATTCAAGGAAATGATTCCGCCGATTCTATCCCCGGAGTCGGAAACCGCTCTCCCTCGCTTCATCTCCTCCTCGATATGCGGACTAATCTCCGCATCTCCACCTCTCTCCAGTTCGCGCGCTCGCTCGATGATCGAATTTTCAGGGGAAGTTCAAAAATTGCTGCGAACAAATCGGAAGCCGCGCGCGTGTCCCCAAACTCGCGATGGCCCAGCAAAAGTACGACAATTGGAATCTAAACTCTCTCTGGAAATTGTTTAGCAACTATTATTCTATTAACAGTACTTTCTCGTGATTAAATACAATGATTTTTATAGAAATTTAATTAACACTATCTTGTAATTTAACGAATCTTAATCTTATAAATGATAAAATTATAAATTGATTTATATAGAGGAAACATTTTATCTCCTATCACAATAGAATTGAGGATAAATTAAGAATTAAAAACGTCTTCCTTGTACAAGAAAAAATTTCACGATGATTTCATTAGCGCTAAATGATGAAATTCGTGTCGCGATTTCTCAGCTCCGTGCATTTATCCTAGCTCGTAAATAGCTCAATTCGCGGCAGGACGCATGACTTAACGGAAATGCAAGCCACCATGCTTATCGAGCAAGGTTATCGCAGTGGTATCGCTAGCTACTACCAGCCCTGACCCGCTCTACGTGCCAAGAAACATTGCGGCCGGCCAGCCGGTCGACTAAGAGACGCTCGTGCGCGTAATAATGTTCTCGGTAGCTAGATCTAACGGGTTCGCAAATAAATAAACGAAAGATTGCGCGAGACAACATAAGCCCGAAGAGCGATGATAGAGAAAATCGTGTCGGCGCATTTCCCTTCGTTTCATGAAAGATACAGAAGATATGGTTGACTATGGCACATGATGTCTAAAATAAAGCAAAACGAGATCAATAGACGGATCATAGGCTGTGTATTTCCACAACATCGCACGATTTTTCGATCTCTTTTCCTCAACTGAATCTGTCTTATAATTTCCTGAATTAATGTTTCTATTCAGACGTGAGACACAATTCTGTTTTTGTTATATGGACCGCACTCTCGCGATTTGCATCAATGTCCGTTGCAACATGTACGCAGCATCCAGTGTCAAGTTGACCCGTGAGATTCTATCGGCAGCGATCCTCCCGGGTGTTCCGTTATAAGCGACCTCGGGGTACAAAGAAGATGATTTTCGATTCTCGCACATGCAAAATTTCATTATCTTCTCAGGGGAATCGTGGCCCGGAGCCATAAGCCTGTTGTCGGCTTTTACACACGTGTCACACGCGCGATTGTTCTTTCGGTCCCGCGCGTCTCTAACATCTTTATCGGGCGACAATATCCTGACATCGAGATCGCGTTACTGGTTCTTTATTAGCATATCAAAGCCGCTTGTCGCAGTAATAGGCACGTCTTTCGAGGTAGTCGTACGCGTTAATCCTTTAAGTCGGTAGAACGAGTCAACTCGCTGTTGAAGGGCTTGAATCGATCGAGAGAATACTAACATTGTTGTAAATTCTGACACGCAAATATCATGTAAGAGTAATGTTATCATTTCCCGATAGTTTCGCAACAGCTATTATGGCTTTCGACAATTTTGCGATTATTATTCGATTCATGCTGTAGAAAAATGAAAAGCCGACGACAACACGTCTATTTCGGTAGCGGAGTCGAGCTCGCGTTTTATTACGAATCCACGACATGTTACATCTTATGTATCCAAATTGATCGTATGTTCCGCAGCTGTTGACCGATGAAAAAAGTGTCTTATTTTTCGCAGCCAGACGCGAGCCCGAGGAGGACAAACTACCAAAGAGGGCGTATAGTCCGAAGCACGAGACTGCCGGTTCATTCACCAAAAATTGGCGCTACTCCAATCAGCTGACAGGCCTCTCGTTTCCTCGTACAAAGCGAGGACGCGCGTGCCCGCAAAGTCGTCTATTTTCGGACTCGGTTCTTCTCTTCGCGTTACGAAATCGTTCCACGACCATCTGCTTTCGAATACCATTTCTCAGAGGAATCACGTTTCCGAATAATCGTCGAAATAATTTTTGCGCTGGTAAGCAGAAATGTTTGACTCTCGATTGTAAGAAATAGAGCGAAGTGCTACATTTCAATATTATAGCACATCTAAACAATTTAAATATCCTCAAAGTATAACGGAGACAGAGAGAAACTCTTCAGCATCTTTTATAGGGAATTGTAAGTCTGCAAGAATAAGAGAAAAAGTGCTAAAAAGTTTTATACCACGATGCCTAAATATGTAAATTATTCAATATTCTTGATGAATAGTGCCATAAAAACATCTCATGAAATATTCAAATTTTTTTTTAGTAAATATATACAATAGAAGCTGAGAATTACAAAGAATCCATATCCGCGCATCAAGACTGCTTACTTTAGCATCTTAACGATCGTATATTTTTCTTCAGCAACGTCAGACGGAATGTCAAGTATTAATATACGAGAAAATGTACAATGTTAGTGATCGACGTGGTACAACGTATGCACCGCGATGCATTTTACACGGAAAAATGTCAGACAAGTAGGTAAAAACAAAGTTATGCATGATGGCAGTCTATAGACTCTCTTCTCTGCCGTAAAAGAGGAGAGGCATTAATAAATCTCCGTTTAAAAAAAAAACACGATTGGTAGATTCGCCACGTCGCTCGCATAAAGGTTAATCGATATTCGCTTTATAAATGTAGAAAAAAGTTTCGATGGAAAGATCGCTCAACCCCCTTCGGGAATTGCCGCCACGTTACCGCGAAGGGGCAGAACGAACGAGAATAGCGAGAGTTCATCGCAAAGTCCGATCTCCTGATAATTGTCGATGTGTCGCTCCTCGCGACCGCATCAAAATTATCGTAATTTATCGATCGTTTGCCAGACGTTAGCGACACGGCCAAAATTACCCGAAATGAAGTATCCCTTTCGCGCGAGTTACCGTGCGAGAGATCGTTGAACTCGTCGACCCTGCACCGAATCGTTCAAATGCACGATCGATTCTTATTCGCGAGACACAAGACGCGAGTTCAGCGATATAAATCCTGCCCATTAAGAGAGCGGCGACAGATACGTAAATACGAGTTATCTCTCAGGGAAGCGGGAAGGAGCGAGGATGGCTAAGGGTGGGCGAGATTTAAGAGGGAGGAACGTGAAGAGAGAAAGAGAGAGAATGCCGAAGATACGTCGGGCATGCGCATCGTCGCCCAGCAACCGGCAAATCAAATATTAACACCGGCTTTATACTGTTGCCACCGACACGTTGCCAACCGATGGCACGGTTGATGCACACGGAATGGATTAACTTGCGCCTTCACGTCATAAAAGCCGCGTTGTGTCTTGAAATAACACGTGTATCATCAACAAACAATCATATGATTTCAATCCCCCCTAAGAAATTCAGAAAATTACCTCGGCAAGCTTCATCCCATCATCCTATTTCATTGTAAATAAATATCATTAACATGTATCGAGACGCATATACGAGGATAATGTATACGAAATGATAAATTACAGAGATAATTATTTCATTATTTAAAATACCTAAAATAATAACAGAACAAGAGAACGGTGATGAATAATTTTCTTCGATATATATACATTTTTGATTATACAAAGTCAATTAAAAAAATTTTGAAATTATTTGAAAACTAAAAACAAATTATTAAAATTTTGCCGAAAGAAATTTAAAGACTACAATCCCAATATAAGAAAAATATCGATATAGGTATTCATGTTTCGTTTCATCGGAATAATCGCTCCTTATTTATCGAAGAAGCGACCGTAACGATTTTCGCCGGCGTCAATCTGGTAATGATAGGACGAGTCTTTTAAAAGTTTCGTGCCGACGAAAACCCAGCGGAAGACAATCGTCGCGCGTGCTTTCCGGAATAAGATGGAGCGCGCCGACGAAAACAGGTTGACAGGCTGTTGGGGAAACTTTTCAACTAATGGCGGTCTCCTCTTTCTCTCTCCCGTGCTCATCTTTTCGGGTAGTTAAAGAAGATCGCGCGCGCGCGAGAGAGCCGTATTTCCTTTCTCTCGTCCGCTCCGTTTTCGCATCGATAGTAAAACGCTGCACACTCGCTCGTTAAATGCCCGTTCAATCAGCCATGGCCGCAATATAGGCTTTTTGTTAACATTCGTTTGTCGACGATAACTCATAATTTCAACGTTTAAATACTTTCTCTCGGTCGTTGCGAGTGATTTTACGCTATCAGAGGATGACGCGTGATCGCGAGCATGATTTATAATCATATATTCCGCGAGTACTCCATAAATATACTTATAGACGCGACACATAGTCGTTAATGGGCTATCAAAAGTATCAAAATACTCCGCGTATCGCTCGATATATCGGATTCTCTCGTCGCGGAGGGGGGGAGGACTCGGCGATTATTTACGATATTTCCTTAAAGGTGACGGGTTTTATGCGAAATTAAAAACGAATATATGCAAATTCGGCAATCGATCGCGGCGCTATATCGCCCGAAACGTTTCCTTTTACGCGCGTCGATGTCGGTTCGAAGTTGTAAATTTTTTCAAGACGACCGGTTTTTTGGGAACACACGTCTACATTCTGACGTTTTCTTCACCTTGAATGAGACGCGTGACCTATAGCGACACACTAATTTCGATTTCTATTTTTTTATGAAGTCATTATACCGCACGTTTCTGATTCTCATTAACGAAGAATACACCGTTAAAAGACACATTGTAACCCCGTTATATTCAGTTGTACCTGATTAGGATCTCCCGTTTATATCAATCAGCCATTGTATATTATTAAAAATAAGAAATGCGAATGTAGAATAATTTTGTAGACTCACCAGAGGCCGTTTCGGCAGCGTCGCGATTGTCTGAAACAGAAAAAGAGGATATTCTAGTAAGTATATCGTTTCTCACTTATACGATCGCCGCGACGACGAAATATTAAAAATTGTTGAGCGCGTAGTTGGAAGAAATTAATTTAAAAAATAAAATTTCCCCGCGGGAAATGAGCGCAACGTAAAATTCCAACGAGAAAACTAAAGTTCGGACCAAGTGCGACGCGGCTCGGCGCGCCGAGCTAAAATCCGCCATACGTATTATGTGAAAGTACAGTAATTTAACAGCGTACGGAGAATTCCTGGAAACAATTTGCGAGGCAAAGCCGGTAGCCGCTCATAAAATACAGCGAGAAAATACCACGAATTAACGAAGGAGGAGGAGAAGGGGGAAATTTACAACAAAGCGCAGAAATTATTGGAAAGCGTCGTTGCTCCCCGTTTTTCTCGCTCCTTTCGTCCCGTACTTTCTCTCGTCGCATATGCGCTCTCTCTCGAGTACACTAAACCACGTATGTACTATGAGTGCAAACACTCGAGTAGTTGAATTATTTGGATATTTCAAAATAAATTTGTATATGAAATTCTCGGGAAAAAAAATATTGCAACATTTTACCTCGTACACCAAATTGGAAAATTAATAATCGTTTTAATATTTCTACAAATATATGGGAAGTAAATTTGTAGTATCACTCACATTCTGATTTATGGCAAAAAAAATATATAGCAACTTTTATACATACTGTAGAAAAATTTACTTTTAATCATAATTGGTAAATTTTGCATTTAGTAAATTAAAATTTTATTTTAATCTCTTTTAAATTTTTTATAATTATGTTGAAGAATAATGTTTTTTCATTACTTGAATAATTTAATTATAATAAGATAATATAGTGTATATATATATATATATATATATATATATATATATATATATATATATAAAATGTCATTTCACGTGTAATTTCAGCGAGTTTTGTGTTAATACATCTGTTCCACATATACACGTGCTGTGAATCTTTTACAAGTAGTTTAAAAAACGTCATCGTGGAAAATCAACTGAAAGCTGTCTAGCTTAAATTAGCAAATTGAAGTAACATCGTAATCTCTCGCATAAAACGAATCTCAAACTATAAAAGCCAACATACTTCGTTGAAACGGTTGTTTGCGCTTTTAATGACACGGAAAAACGGGAAAAATTTCTTGCACGATCGTTAAAAGCGTTAACTTCAAATTTGAAAACAATAAAAAATTAATTCGACTCGAAATATATTCTCGATGAGATTTGATACATGATACATTTGGAAAAAATTATCCCTTTATCGTTTTTTCTAACGAACAACGACTGATTTTGAACAGCAGCTTCTTCTACCTTGAAAGATAATAATGAGAATCGTTCATTTATATTCTCTGAGCATTTCTCGGTACTCTCTTGTTTCTTTAAAATCTTGGCTTAGAAAATGCGACGCAATTTTAACGAATTATAGCAAGTTGAGCTAATCATTATTTATCACACATACACAATTAAAAAATGCAATAGTTTTACATTAAAAATTAAGAGATAAATAAAAAAATATTAAAAAAATTTATATCGCGACTTTTAATAATTACAAATGTTGGCTAATTTAATTTGAAACAGTCTATTTTAACATGCGCATTCTTATAAAACACAAATTTAGAATTAATGTTACAATAATTTCTTATCTTAATGTATGTACATATTCGTCGTTTATCTCATTATTATATTGATCTCATTTTGAAAGAGTCCGGTGGAGTTCGATGGCCGTATAAAAACTCGAACATCGAAATGTCACGGATCGGTCATAGGCTCGAATTGATGCATTTATATTTATTTATGCGATTTTCCATTTTCCATGTGACACGTATGTCCGAAACCGTGACATTTGGTCCGCGAGATCGTCGCATATGTACGTCACCTCGCGGAATATTAAATGCAGCCAGTGAGTGCCGGATTGTTTATTTATTCAAGCTGCGCGCACATAACACATACACACATCTCGGCGTATCCGCCTGCGCTTCCTTCGCTGAACAAAGCCAACCAGACCACCTATTAAGACAGATGGCACGGAGATTATTTACGGGGGTGTGCACCTGAGCTCGCGCATTTTCAATTTCGAACATCGGTGCACGTTCGAGGACAAAATACATACGAGAGGCATTACATTACGATGAATACGTATACACGTTTGCGAATTATCGAATCTCGTAAACTCTGCGAAAACCTTCATCGGTATCCGCGTATCTTTGCTTGTCGGCGATAATAAATCTGGATCCCCGGATAGATGGTATGAAAAATGTTTATTTTGACAACACGTTGGTATCGTATCAAATAATAAAAGTGCAGAATATATGGGCAAGCGTAAAAAAAATGGCGAGGCGGTAAAAACACGCGACAAAGTTCGCGCGAGAAATAAATAAATATCGCCTCTGTAAAATACGGCATCTTCGCCTCTCCGCTCAAATACGATAGAGGAAATACGTCAGAGGATAATAATAATTTTTCCATCTCCTATATCGGCGCCGTTCGGATCCTTTCGACCCAGCAATGCAGGAATTTATTAGCTTGCCGGAGGCGCGTCGCTAAATCGTGAATTATCACGATGCTGTTATCTCTATCGACGACAACGACGACGGCACCGATACGAGACGGGAATTGGAACAACGACCTCGCGCTCGCTCGAAACAAAGAGCCAGCGTGATTATGGCACTGATGCCTTCTCCCCCCTCTCGGCAACCTGTGTACTTTTGCGCGTGGCGCAAGGTTCCCCTGGCGACGAACGTGACGTGTATATGCACTCTCTGCTCTCGTCTCCGTTCTTAAACGACGAGACACGTCGAAGCCGACGACGTAAGGCACGAGCGAACGGGGCGGGTGGATGGCACGGATAGCAATTCCGCTAATATAGTTCGCTCCCAAGTGGTAACATTGTCGCAACTCAACGTCAGAACTTTGCGTTTAGAAGCGTAATGTCAGTTAGTCGGTATCATTTAGGATAAAACAGTGTAATTACATGTAGAATCCACCGTATTTTGCGCGACGTTGTAATTTCGCCCATAATTTATGCGGCACCGTAATTTCAGCGCGACACGAGAGCGAGCGGCCGCGGAATACACGAAGGATGAATTATAACGCGCGCATTCGAAGGCGCATCGAACGCGGAAAAAGGAAGGGAAAAAGATGCACGGAAGATGTGTCAAATTCATCGAGTCCGTTACCTGAGCTAAGGGGAAGAAAGACGCGTTAATTCCACCGTGTTAGCCAAATTTAATAGGGGGGGGATTAAAACGTCGATGCGAAATTTCGAAGGAAGAAACCGTTGCGTCACGCGAGCGCATTGGCTTTTGGCACGAAAGGATGCGTTTAACGGTTCCCCCGATGCATTGTGTCGCTTGCGCGATCCTTGCAGGAGTCTGCGAGGCAGAAGGGAAGCGGGAGCGGAAGGCATTAAATTTTCAGCGCGGTCGTACCCGCGGCCAGGAAATATGCTTTAAATGGCGATAACTATAAGTAAGGAGGGGGAGAGGGCGCGCATTAATTCTTTAGAAAGTTATAGCCCGTGCTTCGTGGACGGGAATCTCCTTTTTCGTCGTTTAAATCGCCCCAATTTCCTTTTCCAACCTAGTTCACTCCATTAGAGTAAATAAAGGTAGAATCGCCTATATACGCCAACGACGCGAAATATAACACGGTGCAGTTTTTCCCCGAAAACGTATTGTAATAAATCTGTAATAAACATGATAGTCGGAAACATCCGCATTATAATTTATCTGCAATTTTTCGAAAAGACGAATTAATAATAAAGGAGTACGGGAAACTCGTGCTCTATACCTTGAAATAATTTGTACTTTTATAACAGAGTGATAAGGAATATCATAAATGAAAGATAAAATGCACGATACGCATCTTTCCTCGAGGTACACATTTTCGCAGAATTAAATATGATTTACTTTAAAGATAGCGTTTTATACGTTAGCTTTCCCTCTATTTAATCCTCTTTGCCCCTCTTTGCCTAGATTGGTTTGCCTGCAACGAGAAAAACGAGCACGCAGAGATCTCACGCGTTCGACGATAAGTGCATCGTCAAATGCACTCTGGCACCACTTCCTCACGAATTCGATTGATTTATTAGTGAAAGAACCGAGCAAACAGACGTCTTCCTTACCACCCAAGACTCGAGCGACTTTTTCGCTACGGCGATAATTAATTGTGCCTGCAATCTCGTTGCGCCTCTATTTGTCCATGGAAAAAGTTTTAAATGACACAAGCTTTCTTCATCGAAGGTGCGGTATCGCATTCTGTAACTTTCGCATTTCTTTCGCATCAATCGAAATTGTATTTTCATTTTACTTACGAGAGACAGAAATTAATGGTATACAGTGTTTTTTAAATGCGAAAGATTTTAGATGATTCTTTGTCGAAAATTAAGGGAGGTTTCTCATATAAACATATACTCCTACATCCCTCCCTGTGGAATTACATTTCTCCAAAAATGGGAGTAAAAATTAGGTTTTTATTTTTTAGATCTTTAGGTTTTTATTACAATTTTGTTTTTGTTCCAATTTTTTCAACATTTACTCTGATTTTATTTTTGTTTTAAAATTTAACTTCTCGTAATTCGAAACCTATGTCATTTAGCATTGTGCTGTGCACGATAATATATTTTATTTTTTTTCTTGAAAACTATTGATTTTGTAAAAAAAAAAATAAAAGAAATGAAAAAATTTCTAAATAAATCAAACTTTTTAATATATATTTTTAGATGATCATTTCCGGCCCATTAAAAAGTTCTAATAAAAAATTGAACAGGAGTTGCTAGTTTTAGCCCGTTATAACAATACGGCAAGCTGAAAAAAATATTAATAAATAATCTGCTTACTAGAGAAAATATCCACCTAATTTCATTTTTTTAACGTGTTCCAAATTTGAGAAAAAAAGAAAAACCTAATTTTTACCCCCATTTTTGGAGGAGTGTAACTCCACAGGGAGGGATGTAGGAGTATATGTTTATAGG